GCATAATTTAAGTTTTCCTAAAAAACATATATATATATATATATATATATAAATATATACTATCCTTCATTCAAAACTAAAATTCGCTAATAATGCATGTTATATTTGTCGTACAATTTTGTAGATGAGTTAGAATAAGATTAACTTACTGATATATTGATGTTGCATTCGTGATAATCCACCTTTTCTTCTTTTGTTTTGCTGTTTATTTCCCAAGAGCCGTTCTCCGAGCAGATTTTCCTCGCCTTCTCTGTAAAAGGAATAATCTATGTGCATAAGCTTAAGATGGTGGATTCATTAGAGAAACTTTCATTAATATTGCATATATACATATTCACTTAAATTATAGAAATGAAATAATGTTTGCACTCTCTTCGAGTTAATAGAGTACATTGCAAATACAGCTTGAATAGGATAGTTTTTTTAGAAACAAATAGAGCAACAGCTACCAGCGAAATTATTTTATTAAAAAAAAATGATCCATAATTTTTTTTGAATAATTCATAATTCATAAGAGCATTCATAAATTCATAGTTCATATACAAGTATTTGAGTATGAGAAAACAGGTAATACACACTTGATGAATTTCCTTCGGATGGGCAAAAAATTTCGGCAACTTCTCCTGCAAATGTTGCATCCCAGCATCCCCATCCGTCGAACGTAGCGGGGCAAAATATTGCATCATCTGGAAAGAAATATGTTTTATAATTTACCACAGAATATGCATAGTTATTAAAAAAAAACTAAAAACAAAATTAATACATAATAAGCTGAGTGAGATTATCTTTTAAATCAATGATTTCATAATGAAAAACAAAACAGATTGGCACAATAGACAGAAAGAAAAGTTATTGATCTGACAATAGTTATGAGTCAATATAACGTCACTTTAGGATGCAAAAGCTGCATAAATATTTCATTGTTAATGTGATAAAAAGATATATAAATATTAGGGTATTTGACCAGTAGGGAGAAAATTCAAGGGCTATTATAACACTATTGTAGGTTATACTATATAAATATTTCCTCCTGAATTTTTAGCTTAGTTTATCTTAATTTGCAAGGATAAAATTCAAGGAAAATTTTTCGACAGAAATAGTTTAAGTTAGAATAATTTTGAGTTAAATATAGTAAGACGATCTTCGAGTTTTCAAATTTTTGGATATTAACTTTTAAATCAATGATTTTATAATGAAAAACAAAACACATTGGCACAATTAAAACAAAGAAAAGTTGGTGATCTGACATCAGTTAAGAGTCAATATGACGTCATCTTATGATGCAAAAGCTGCATAAATATTTCACTGTTAATGTGATAAAAAGATGTATAAATATTGGGGTATTTGATCATTAGAGAGAAGACTTCAGGGTCACTATAACCCTATTGTAGGTTATACTATCTAAATATTTCCTCCTAAATTGTAGCTCAGTTTCTTCTAATTTGCAAAGATAAAAAATCAAAGAAAAGTTTTAGACAGCAATAGCTTAAATTAGATCAATTTTGAGATAAATATAGTAAGACGATATTCGAATTTTTAGTTTTCTGTTATTAGAAATTAATTCTTCGTAAGAAAAGTGTCTAGCTCGCTTTAGTGGAAAATAAAAACTGAGCGAAAAACTGTAAGGATTAATAATCGAGCTCAAATAAATTCTAAGCAATTTAGTTTTTGATTTAAAATAAATTGTTATCCAAAAAATACTCATGGAATTCTAAATTGTGCAGGTAATTAACTTAAAACTATAAAACTTTTATTCTTAATTTTAAAATGAACTGTATTTATCTTAGACTTTTAAAAGTAGAATTAAAATTTTCGAATAAAGAATAACAGCTTTCAACTAAAGCATAGTATGAAATCAAAAGCACTTTTCGCCTGAGAACAACCAAAACTTGGCGACAATTTCATAGCAAAAATTACAGTTTTCGATAATTTATAACCTAATGTTTAATTCAGGATAGAGAAATTAACTTTTATTCTTCGTTTTTAAACCTAAAAAATACCATGATTGGCAAAGCAACCCTTCGGATTCTTCCTTTGTTAAACAAAGGCTGGATTGGATCAGTAAAACCTTAATTCTTACATATCTGGTTGTCTCATTATACTCAAATGGACTGTAACAAAAGTAATGTTGCTTCCGTGAGGTACGCAACGCCTCTTTAAAATAATGGTTCCAGTTGTCTCCGACACTTAGTCAATATTTCTGTTTATATCTTTACCAATTCATAAAATCTATAAAATGCGATTTACAAAATATGATATAAGATTTCAAGAATAATTTATCCCGTTATCAGTATATATATATATATATNATATTTCAAACGTAAACCAATAATATTTTCATAAATCGGAAATGTTCTTACTAATAACGTGTGCCCCTTTACTTACTTCGCTGTAATAATAGTAATATGAATGAAAGGATTTAAAATAATGAATGGGAATTAATACAAATATTGTTTTACTTAAAAATAATTATTTTATTGCATCGAAACATTATTTACAAAGGGACTATGTGGCTCATCACAACATTAAATTCCGTTTCGTCCTTCCAAGGTTGCTAATTATGTTTATATGAGGTTGTTAATTATGTTTATATAAGGTTTTTAATTATGTTTATGCTTGCAATGATTGGATCAGTACATTGTACGTACACATTGTACATACTGGCACATTGTACGTACAAAATAAATGACAGGTCTTTCTTTTAAAGCATATAGGTATGGTAAGGTGTAATAAATAGATAAAAAACAAATAAAATGAATAAATATTTTTTTGCTCCTAAATTCAAAATTTCAAGTCGGAAGAAAGTTATATAGTTTACCAGGATAAGTTTTAGACAAATTGATAAATATTTTTTGCATTTTTGACCCTTTCTTCCCAAAAATTACTTTTTAGATCAGCCCCGAGAGACTCAATTTTTTTTCAATCTGACAAAAAAAAATTTTTTTTGTAAACACGTGGATTATAATGTAACAACTTTTTTTTTAATTTAAAAGTTTGGATTTTGATTAAAAGCTTTCCTGATTCCTCTTAATGTATAGGTAAATGTTTTGTAAAAGAAATAAATAATAATTATTATTATTTATCGTAAATTTTAATTCAATGCCACAACAATGTCAAACCATAACAGCAATTCATGTATATACTTACTCCATATAAAATATTCCTACATGCATTTATTGCCCATATCGTTATTTTCTCGGAAACTATAGTGTCACTAACCCCGAAAATGTCAAATCTCTGGGAGGTGACATTATTGGCAATCCCGTCAAACAAAGCAATCTCGGCACTTGTTCGGTTGATTCTAGGGGCACATTCAAAATAACGCTTTACCGTCCCAAAATGTGGTCTGCCCTCACATTTACTTAGATTAATTGGATATAGAGCCCTTTTCATAGCATCCACCCATACTCTAGTTTAAATATTCCACGAATGAATTATACGCCTCGTAAAAGATAAGGGGAATTTCATCATCACAATGCAAAATGAACTAACGCGTCTTTCTTCCTTTACTGGAATATGAAGTCGTCTGCCATCCACTGAGAATAGATGAGAGATTTGGAGATGGGATTTATAAAGTGAGGAAATGGGTTTACTAAGAATTGGACTTTAGAAGTAGGAGTTTGACGAAAACTTTAAAATATGATTTAATAATCAATTAAAAGCTATTGCTGTTCAACAAAAATTTGCCAGTTAAGTACCTAAAAAACATAATTAATAACACTTTAAACTTTATTAATTATAAAGTAATGAAAGTATAGTTTTATTAATAATAAAATTATAAAATAATGAAAGTTTAGTTTTATTAATCATAAAATTACAAAAAAATGAAAGTTTTGTTTTGTTAATAATAAAATTAAACTTAAATATTTGAACTTTATTACAGTTACTATCAACTATAATTAAGTTCTTAGTGGATGACTTTTCTATTTATTTAGTAAAGGCATAACTAATTAAAAATAAATAATTAAAATTTATAATTAATTTTGTCTAATAATATGATTTTAAACATAACTAGTTTTAAAATCAAATATTAAAGTATTTTGTTACTAATAAATTAAATTTCAGTAGTTTTATGTTTGAACTTTATTACATTTAATGTTAATGAAAAATATAGAATTGTGCTTTAGAAGTAGGAGTTTGCCAAAAACTTTAAAATATGATTTAATAATCAGTTAAAAGCTGTTGCTGTTCAAAAAAAAATTGCTAGTTAAGTACCTAAAAAACATAATTAATATCATTTTAAACTTAATTAATTATAAAGTAATAAAAGTTTAGTTGTAATAATAAAATTAAATTTAAATATTTGAACTTCATTACATTTACTATTAACTATAATAAAGTTCTCAGTGGATGGCTTTTCTAATAATTTAGTAAAGGTATAACTAATTAAAAATAAATAATCAAAATTTATAATTAATTATTGTTTAATAATATGGCTTTAAACTTTACTTATTATAAAATCAAAAATTAAAGTATTTTGTTACTAATAAAATTAAATTTTAGTATTTTTAAGCTTGAACTTTATTACATTTATTGTTAATAAAAAATATAGAATTGTGTTTTAGAAGTAAGAGTTTGCCAAAAACCTTAAAATATGATTTAATAATCAGTTAAAAGCTGTTGCTGTTCAACAAAAATTTGCTAGTTAAGTATCTAAAAAAACATAATTAATATCACTTTAAACTTTATTAATTATAAAGTAATGAAAGTTTAGTTTTATTAATAATAAAATTAAACTTAAATATTTGAACTTTACTACATTTACTATCAACTATAATAAATTTCTCAGTGGATAGCGTTTCTATTAATTTAGTAAAGTTATAACTAATTAAAAAAAATAATCAAAATTTATAATTAATTATTGTTTAATAATATGGCTTTAAACATAACTTATTATAAAATCAAAAAGTTTTTGTTACTAAAAAAAGCATTACTATTTTAATTATAATGAAATAAAATTTCATTAAATCGGATCATGTCATATAAAATTAATATTAAAGAAAATCTTTTACCAATCAGCACATTTTCCGACGAGTAAAATGATGAGGGAATAAAAGATTATCAAGAAAAAAATATTAGAAAATGTAATTTTTTTAATTAAGTCAGTTTGTTAAAATTATATTTTGTTAGTGAAAGTTCGTAAAGTATTGCGTTTTCTAAAAACGCATTTACTAAAAACAGCATATTTTTTTATTTCTTCGCCTCCAAGAAGATATTTTTTTTTCATTTGTAGGAAAGAGAATGAATGATTTTGCAAGAAGATATATGCTCATTATTTTGGAATTATAAATAATCTCAATTTTAAAAATGAAGTGTGATGTCATTAAAAATGTTTTTAAAGAATAATTTTGTATATTTTTATTCAAAAATTATTTTCAATAACCTTTATGTAGAGAAGTAGGAATAGTGACAGATAAAAAATTAATTTAGTTAAAATGAGGAATATATAGTATCGAAATAAAAAAAATTAAACACTTCATAAACTTATAATCTAATAATCGACTTTTCATATAATAAAACGCAATTCTGATTATTCTTAAGTCTAGTCTTTAATATATCAATTTATTAATGCAAAAGTTGGTTTTATTAATGGATCTGGATAATATTGTCACGGTAGATTAGCCGGAGAGTAGTACAAAAATTGGGCCCCTTTTTGTTAATTTCACATTTTGTGCTTTGCTTTATC